TCCCAGCATTCATTCGCGTTACTCGTCAATACATCCACCATGTTATCTCGCATGGGTGATAAGCGAACATTTTGTTTATCTCGTGTAGTTGATACGCGATCTTTATGAACGGACGATGTACCAGGTTGCAAGTTTGGTACAAAAACGTGTGGCGCGATCTGTACTATACCTGATGACAAAATTAAAATAAATATTTAAAGTGAATATAGAAAATAGGTACATACCATGAACATTTTTCAAATGTCTATTGAGGCTGGTCTTGTAACTGAACGTAATGCCACACCTAATACACGGTATACGAATACCCTCGTGCGTTTTTTCGTGTCTTGTCAGATTACGTTTCGCTGTAAATTCCGAAGCACATTTGCTGCATTTGAGCAATTTCGAATGTGTTTTTCGGTGAGCGATCAGATTTGACTCGTATACGAATCCCAAAGAACATTGCTCGCATTTAAACATTTTAAAATAAACGGATAAGAAAAAATTAATACGTTATATAATAATTACGTACGTAGTATTAGCATAGAGCGAACGAGATGTAGGTAATAGAGCACTATAACACCAACTGAGGACAGTAATGAATAGCGACCATTCATTCATTCAAAAATCCCTACCGCCGCCGCTGCCACCACTGATCCCCGTCACGTGACAAAATACAGGGTCGTCGGATTGTTCTATATATCGGGTGTACTAATATCAGTATGGTATAGTGTTCAAACCATCTGTTAAAAAAAAAACTATGAAATCGGGCTCAAACGTATAACGGAAGACTGTATAGTTACCTTTTCTAGATGAGATATACTTTTCGCATGCAGGGAAATATATTTACAATTAAATATTCCAATTTTCTAAAATACCATACCCGTAAGTCCATTCTCTCAACATCATTAATCTATCTAAACTTAAATTACCTAATTCTACATTTAAATTATATACACTATTATTATTATAACTATAAATAGGAGTACTACGAATATTATATACAGTATTACTTAAGTCTAAATCTAAATATTCTAAATTATTAATAATAGATATAATAGGCCCCATTTTTTTTTGAAAAATTCTAAACAATAAAAGATCCCAATAATTTTTAGCTATATATGAACCCCTTAATTCTAAATTTCTTATATCATAATTTATACAACGTCTTATTTTTAAAAATACCTCCTCCCAATAATCCCTACTTGTATCTTGTAACCACATCACACTCCCGGATAACAAATTATCATTCCAGATAATGTGACCATGGTCGTCTACTAATTGGTAGGTTTGCTGAAATATTTTCCGGAAAAAATATTCGAAGTCACGATGCGAATATATTTTTAACTCCGGCTTAATAAAACTTAAATTTGTAATTATATTAGGGTTTAAATTTAAATTAAATTTATCGTATACAAATTCCCGCCATTCTATGCTAGTTGACATATGGTATTTTTTATGGAAATTTTTTTTTTTTTCCCTGCATGCTTCACAATTCCATACAAAATGTTGGTGATTGTCTAATGACGCCTCGCAATGAGGCGTCATTAAACCCTCTAAAGAGGTATGAAAATACCTCTCGATTACTTCTAAGACTTTAAAAAATAAAAATAAAAATAAAAATAAAAATCCCGGATATAAATATTAGGCAATGATACTTACTCGATTCAGCGTCCATAGTTTGCAAAGTATCGCGTTGATTATTACGTGTTATGAGCTACTGATACGACGTTTAGAGTACAACTAATTCTAGTTCGTAATATATGTTTTTGATGAGAAAAAGTATATTTCTAAAACTATGAAGAGCATTGTCTATGAACTATCACAATCAGGCAAATTTTACATTTTCACTATATATTTATGTTTTTGATTCATAAAGAGTATATTTCTATAACTATGAAGAGCATTGTCTATGAACTATCGTAACCAAGCAAATTTTTACATTATCATTATATATATATAGTTTTATGCGGAGGAAGATTTCCAGCCTCTGCTCAACAAACTTGTAGCATGTAGTATCAGTTGTGTGGTATACATCATATGGTTTAACGAGATATAGTTAGCTATATGAAGGTGGTGTATAAAATATATATTATAAATATTGTAGAAAGAAGAATGTTATACGTAAGGGAAAAAAAAATAACGCTGTGAATAGTTGTAAAGAAGCGTTTATTAGTACCTGTATATACATCGTTAATTTATCTACAAATTTTGTACTATATTAAATATTTTAACAGCTACTTCCCTACATTCTGCTGTACCTAATACATCTTCATAATATCTATAACCATGGATTTTTACTAACTCCTCCATACTAGTCCATACCTGCAAGCGACGCCTACAAATGTCACATTTTTTAAATTGTCATATATAACGTAGTAAGGTAGGGTCATCATATACATGCTGTGTAAAGAAATGTTTTTTAGAACTTAACATAATTTTATGTAAACTGTTTCCTCTGGGCTCAATAAATTGCTATAATAGTCCCGTCTCGGTGTATTTGATAGCTACAAAATGTTAAAAATATACCAGTAGATTATTTTGTGTTAAAGTCACTGTGATAACGTACCGGAGGGCTCGCGCGCGCGTTCGCGGCGGTTCTTGGCATGGTATAGTGGCGGGGGAAATTATACTAATATGGTTGTATGATGTGTATATAATTATTAATTGTTTGGATATAATTTATGTTAGTATGTACCTATATATTAAAATATAATGAAAATGGTTTAATATTTTTAGATACGTGTGATAATGTACCATATCTTTAATGTTTTTTTTTTTTAGTTCTTTATTTTACACAATATATTACAACAATCTGCTCTACTTATATATCTTAAGGAAATTGTAAATAATTTGTAAAATAAAAATACTTTTTTTAAATATCACGTTGTTTTTTTTATTATATATAAGTAATAAAATATCATATTACAATAAAATATTACATTCTTAACGAAAAATTAATGTGCGGGCTGCTTTTGCGGTTTCACGTGCTACGAATCCCCTCGTCCTCGGTCTGGTTACTTCAGACTAAAAAAATTTGTTTTCTTTAGTATAAAATAATATGTAAAAATAAAATCGTATTACCTCAATTTCGATCGAAGAAGCTAACCATCCCCTTGCCAATTGTTTGACTGCCTTGATTTTCAAATCTGCTATTAAACCATTACCAGTGAAATTGAGTTGTTTTTTCAATTCTTGGACATCGATGCGGGATAAATAATATTCAACATTGTTTATTTTCGTATCTTTGGGTAGCGGCATTTCCTTTCCAAGATACATTGTAATATCACAGGCCTGACGTAATGCACTAGGTCGTGTATATATATTTTTCATATGAATAACTTCTTCCACGGCATCATTTAATTGTAAGATCCTCGAAACATTCTCTTCAGTTAATCGTACATGTTGATCCTGTTGCAAACACTTTATCGAGAGAACGTTGTCACCGTTGTATTTATCTACTGAAGCCAATTTAAGCTCCTTCAGCATTAAATGAGATGGTCGTGAAAAATTGATGTAGTTAAGAGCTATATTAATTAGAGATTTATAGAATTCAATACTCATTTTAACACACTGCGAGTTATTTGAGATGTATATAACGCAATTAAACAAAAAATCAGGATCTAATCCTATATTTATAAAAATATTGCTATCAATAAAGAATGTAGTACAATCGATCAGATTAGCTGGTGGCGATGGTGGTGTATATTTGTAAGTTTTCTTGTAAATATTTTCCATATTTTCAATTGGACCAGCCATATTTATTTTACGCACTGAGAAATAATTATGATTTTAACACTGAATATGAGACAAGCCCACGCGAAACACTTGGAACGATTATATAGAGTGACTGAATTTATGTTGTGTAGTTGTGTTCATAAACGAGCAAATTAAATATTAATTGGTGGGGGAGACATCGAAAAGTCCCTACAGGTTAATCGGGAGGGGGTAAATGGTTTAGTGGTGGGGGAATTTATACCTCGCGTACGTGAGCGGACGCCAGTTAAATGAGATAGAATATACCTTCTCAAACAGATGCGAGTAGGCGGCCCAGTGGTACGGTTGTCGCTTATCATGCAAGTTAACCGGGTTCGAATCACGGTCCGGCGGATAAATTTTTAAATTATTTTCCACGCGCAAAGTCGGCGATGTCGATCGGTGGTCATAGGTGGTGGGGTGGCGGGGGTACATCGTGTGTGATATATGGTGGGTTCATCAGCCGTCAATGTATAGGGATGAGCAGACGGGTATAGTGGGATGAGCAGACGGGTATAGTGGGATGAGCAGACGGGTATAGTGGGTTGAGCAAACAGTATAGTGGGTTGAGCAGGCGGTGTATTGGGTTGAGCAGACGGGTATAGGAAATTGCCAGCAGGATGAGGTTCCAGAACTGTCTTTTTTAACCTACTATTGAACAGTTGAACGTAAAAGATGTATTTGTTTAGGTACTGTTAAATTATATTTTACTGTATGTATTATATTTGAATGAGTACTAGTGCAATAACTACAAACTAAGCTATGTTGTGTTGCTGTTTTTACAGTCTATATATTGGTGCATATATTTAGGTAAGCAGTAACTTTTCAAAAAAGATAGTTCGAATGGGTACGCGCGGATATTACAAATAATACCGCGACGTTTACTGTGTGAATTTTATATTGACGGGATACATCACAGTCGAACGTTCATGAAATAATAATCGGCGCTCCCGAGACGCGCTGAATGAGCAGTGCCAGTAGTGCCGCCGACTGCGAGTAGTAGGCGGGGCTTAGACGTCGCGCGCTTGCGGATCCCGAAAACACCTAATAGCGCGTTCTCTTGGCCGTTGTATACGTAACACTTTGGGTATCACGTCCTCTTAAGTCCGTTTATATAAATAAATAAATAGGTACAATTTAAAATATTTTTAGTTATTATAAATGTGCAAAATCCAAGGAATTTTTTTGTGGTGGAACTGCAAAAAAAAAATCCAGATGGCTCAAAGGTTGAGCTAAAAGCTCATTCATTAATACATGTGAGAAATATGAATGACGAAGACAATATGGTTAAAATATTTATAAATTCATTAAAATTACGGGCAAAAAATGAAAATCTTCCTTTGAAAACCATTTATGATGAAGAAGCTCTAAGGTAATTTTAATGCTTTAAATACAAATATATATAAATGGCTACTATTGTTAACTGGGTATTTATTTTAGGTACCAAGTTGCTGCTGGCCTATATCCGTGGTCAACTGCAGAGAGCATTATGCATTATACCAGGAGATCCTCGCTGCCTTCTTTGCCCCAAACATTACATGAATTATCCATCACATTTGATAATGGAGAGTTATTTAGATACTCATGTTGTGGTTCTTCCATATTTAACGGATGTGTGCGAGATACTGATGGTAATAGTATTAGTTTATGGTAACATTTGGCAATAATATAACATTTAAATGTAGGCTTGGTAATAGTAAATACCTATTACATTGTGTATACCAAAACCATAGACTAATCCGTATAAATTTTTGAAATGTATTAATGGTAAGAAGGCTCCACGCTTAAAATTATAAAAGAGGATCTATAAATTGATGATTAAAATATATTATTGTCTGGTATCTTCTATTTTGGAACAAGGTATCTGGTATATAATATACAAAATATAAGTGAATTCAGTTATAGTAATAAAAAAATTTAAATTGAATACTTTTTAGCATGAGGAGCTCAGCGCTAGAACAGCCTAACCCACAAAAGTGAAATTGTACAGGACGGGCATTTAAAGTTTAGACTATTTTTCAACAATTTTTTTTTCTTATTAAATCCACTCCAAGAAAAATAACAATAACTCATTAGTGTTGAGTTGCCCTTTTTATAGTTCTACTTTTGCTTGCTTCAGCTTGTGCCGTTTTTGTAAAACAAATTGGTTTTGAAATAGATGACTTGGGTAAATTGCAAGTTGGAACTGCATTTTTTTTCAAATATCGTTTAGTCAAATGGGTATCTATAAAAACATAAATAATTGAAATATAAGTACATTTATAAAAAATTATACACTAAATAAATATATTTTTAATGAGTTATGAACTTTTTAAATTAAAAATTTACCTGATAAAAAATAATCATCACGTTTGAAATGCAATGAACAAACTACCATGTGTTTGGAAACTTTTTTCCCAATTCGAAGTGCATTTGTCCATCATGAAACTACAATCAGATATGTTTCATCCACCTGCTCTTTAATGATGTAACGTACGAGTCAAAATTTCAGATGTTGACAGGTCAAAATGTGATCCACAATTTATAATTGCAATTGTATTAGAAAAAACAACCGACGGATTTTTTCACTTAGGTAATTTTTTTTATTTATCATTTTTTTTTTTATTTATTTATTAATAATACAAATAGTTTTGTTTTAGGAACTAAATACGGTATACTAAAACAACTTTACGCGAGGTCGCAATTTAGTTTATGCACTGAAAAGTTTATCACGCTTAGTGGTGACGTTCCAGATGTAGATATTTGCCTTCGAAAAGCATCCGAATCCCAATCAATTGGTAATGGACAAGGGTTTTTTAAATGTACATGCCAACAAAAGTGCACCACAAAAAGGTGCATATGTTTAAAAAATAATTTACTTTGTAATTCTAAATGCCACCCAAAAAGTTCCTGTACTAATTGTAAATTAAAAAAAAAAAATTATACAAATACATTGACGTGAAAAAAAAAATTAATATTAATATTTTATAAAATAATGTAAGGTGTGTTTGACTTATACTATAACATTTGATTTTTTAATTTGTAAATTGATTAAGATTTTAATAATTATTCTAATAAATTGATGTGAAATAAATTAATATTAATATTTTATATAATATTGTAAGGCTTGTTTGACTTATACTATAACATTTGATTTTGTTTGTAATTTGTAATTTGATTAAAACTTTTATTCAATAATAGTTTTAAATACATTAACTAAACCCTCATTTTTAGTTTATAAAATATCTAGTTGGTATGTAGAATAACTAGTTGAAGTATATATTTATGGATTCATTCAATACATTAACTGAAAGTACCCGTAATTCTATAAAATAACTAGTTATTCTATAGAATTACGGAAGTAGTATGAATTTGGGGCTTCTGAGTTAATTTTTACGGGGAGATGAAAAAAGTTCAAGTGGGAAAGTCCCCCTTGCAGCACATTCGATCACCGTATAGGTAAAAATTCTAAAAGTATGGTTGGGGCTTCTGAGTTATTTTTTATGGGGAGATGAAAAAAGTTCAAGCAGGAAAGTCCCGCTTGCAGCACATTTTATCACCGTATAGGTAAAAATTCTAAAAAGTATGGTTGGCGGTTCTGAGTTAATTTTCACGGGGAATTTTTTCAGTGCATTATCTTATTGACTCGTTTTTTTTTTCAACCAATTATTTCAAGTTTTATTAAAAACCATGAATTTACAGAAGTTTTCTAACGATTTTCCTTCATTGGTTTATTTAGTAAGAAATAATTCGTATGTATCCAGTGCATTCAGATTTTACTACATTTTTATCGAGATTAAAATCATATAATCCATTTCCAACTACTTTATGTCAAAATAAATATTCGTTATCTGAGGCTGGATTTAAGTATTCAGGAACTGCTGAAAAATAAAACATCGAAAGAATGTACAAAAGGTATGTTTAATATATTGAAAAAAGCAAATCCAAAATTTTTACAGACAGATAATGGTACGGAATTTTACAATGCTCAATTTCAAAATTTAATGAAAAATTATAAAATTAAACATTACAGTTCATACAGTGTTATTAAATGTTCAATCGCGGAACACATGGTCCAAACTCTTGAAAATAATACATAAATACATTTTACTGCTACTGGTACATGGAATTGGTACAATACAATATCAAAAATTATACATAACTATAATAATACAAAACATAGAACAATCAAATGTACACCTAGTGAAGCTCGAATGGATACAAACAATATTAAATTTAACACATATATAAATACAGAAACATTGTACAAACCAAAATTTAAGGTTAACGACAAAGTAAGAATATCTAAGTATAAACATATATTTAGTAAAGGATATACACCAAATTGGACAACGGAAATATTTACAGTTTCAAAAGTTTTACAGACAAATCCAGTAACTTATCAACTAAAGGATGAATCAGACAATATAATCTTAGGTGGTTTTTATGAACAGGAAATGAAATTAACTGATTTTCCAAACACCTTTCTCATTGAACGTATTGTAACAAAAGTTGGGAATAAAATGCTTGTTAAATGGTTAGATTTTGATTCAAGGCAAAATTCATGGATAAAATCATTAGATATTTTAAAATAAAGATGTTTTATTTATTTATTTATTTATTTATTTATTTGAAATACACGCCCGAAGGCAATCAGTACAGAATAATTGAATACTTAAGCTAGTTCGAACAAAAACATACATAGATAAAACATTATAACATTACAATATTAAATATACAATATTAACTTAATTATTGTTAACACACTGGTTTTATAAGTTGGTTGTAGGTATACAATATATTAAACAGAAAAGATGTTTAGAAAGAAAATATATTATTTTGCAACGCTTTTTGAGAGGAATGAAAAATATCAAATTTGTTTTGTAGGTTGTTACAGGAGACTAATGCTCTGTTAATAGGGGAAAAAAAACCGTAAAGTGTTTTGTGACTAGGAATGTGGAAGGTCGGCCGGCTTCTAGAATTAAATGTAGGAACTGATAAATTAATTTGGCTGAGCAGAAAACTATCTTTTATAGTGCCATGTAAGATTTTGTAAATAAATATGACATCAAAATATAGACGTCTTGAACTTAGAGAGTTGATATTAACCAGTCTTCTAAGTGGTTCATAGCAATGATCAATTATTATGCAATTGTTAGGAATTTTTGTATTAATAAATCTTAGGAATTTATTTTGAACTCTTTCGATTTTATTTATCCATACAAGTTGGTAAGGGTTCCACAAAATGGAGCAATATTCAAGTACTGAACGTACTAGAGCGAAATAAAGAGTTTTTAATGATACAATGTTATTAAAATCGCGAGTGTTTCTGATAATAAAGCCAAGTGATCGTGATGCTTTTATAGTTATTGATTGAATGTGCGCAGTAAAAGAGAGTGAACTAGAAAAAATAACTCCAAGATCTTTAATAGAGTCCACTTTAGGTAAAAGGTAATTGTCGGAGTAATAAGCAATATTGAACGGAGATTTGTTACGATAAAAAGAGATGGAATTGCATTTATTAATGTTAACTTGTAAACCATTATTATAGCACCAGGCTTTGAAATTATCAAAGTCGTCTTGTAATTTAGAGCCATCATCTAATGAATTAATATTATAAAATAGTTTTAAATCATCGGCAAACATACTAAACTGTGCATGTTTAAAAACTAAGCCAACGTCATTCATGTACAATATAAAAAGTAGTGGTGAAATATGACCACCCTGTGGGACACCTGAGGGGATAGAGATATTATTAGAAACATAACCGTGAAGCCTTACCTTTTGAGATCTACAAGATATATATGAACTAAACCATTTTAACATGAGATTATTAACACCCATCAACTCTAACTTACGAATCAGCACAGCGTGGTTAATAGTGTCGAACGCTTTACTAATGTCAGTATATATAGCATCGACCTGACCACCTTTTTCAATAACATCCATTAAATATTTATGATATGCAACTAAATTTGAAGAAGTAGAAGTATGTGGACGAAAACCAAATTGTTGTGGAATTATATATTTAGAAAAAGAGAAGTTTAATTTAGGAAGTAAAATAGATTCTAATAACTTAGGAATTGATGACATAATGCTGATAGGACGATAGTTAATAATATTAGAGCGATCGCCGTTTTTAAAAACTGGCTGGACATAAGAGGATTTCCATAAGTCTGGAAATGTGCCTGAAGACAGTGACAGAGAAAAAAGGTAGTGTAAAGGAAGCGTTAAAGCATACCTACATTGGCTTAAAACTATTTCCGGAATACCGTCAGGGCCAGGTGAGCTATTAAGTTTACATTTTTCTAGTGCTAAGAAAACTTCTTGGACAGTAATGTCGATTTTTGATAGATCAATACAATCGGCGATCGTAACCTTTAAATCATCAGTTGATGGACAAATGTGTGAGTAGGCCGAAGAAAAGTGTTCTGCGAATAAATTAGAAATATTTAACCCGTCCTGTGCAGTTTTATTATTTAAAAACATGACTTTAGGGAAGGTGTTTAATTGTTTGCGGTCATTAATAAATTTCCAAAATTGTTTTGGCTTACTGACCAATGATAATTGAGTCTTGGATATGAAATTTATATAACAGGAACGAGATAGTTGTTTGCATTGTAGGCGAAGATTTGAAAAGGTGAAGTAATCTGAAACGTGATTAGATTGTTTATATTTAAAATGGGCTCTTTTTTTTTCTTTTATTAACAGTCTCAATTCTTTATTAAACCATATTGGGAATGAATTATAATTATAAGTAACAATAGGAACATGTTTTAATAAAACCTCGTGACATATTGAATTAAATTTATTAACAGCTGTATTAATATCTAAATTTAAAAATGTTAATGACCAGTTAATTTTATTTAATTCGTAAATAATGTCAATAAAATTCACTTTTTTAAAATTGAAAAATTCAATTTTGTGTGGAAGAGTATTAAAAATGCGTTGTACTTTAGAATAGATTCTTAACGGTGGGTGATGGTTATCGATAGGGACAATCGGATCTAAAGATAACGAGACTGACAACATAGGAAGGGATGAAAAAACAAGATCTAATAGTGAGTTATTATAATTAAGTATTGGATTGAATTGGCGGAAGTTAAAATACGAATAACCGAAAAGAATAGAATCAGATTGAGCAGTGGTAGGAAAAAAGTTGACACCGGAATTTGAATTGAGATCGTAACGTGCAGAAGATAAATTGAAGTCACCAGCAATAATAAACTCGCAGTCCGCGTATTTCGTACGAAGCAATTCTAATGATTGAATGTGAGAGTCGTACATATCAGGGCCACTGGATGGGGGGATATAAACACCACCTATAATTAGTTTTTTATTACCAACCGATACTAATATGAAAAGTTGTTCTACGTTATTTATCGGCACAGATAACATTTTAGCGGCATATAAATTATTAATTGCGATAAGAACACCACCACCTCTACGGTGGGGACTAGTAATTTCATTCCTATCAAAGCGAAACAGTTGATAATCGGTAAGACCTAGCTCTGAGTCACAGAAATCTGCAGTGAGCCATGTTTCAGTTAATATACAATAGTCAAAATCGAACAGTGAATAATTACAACGCAAAATATCTAATTTTGTGCGTAAACCGCGTACATTTTGGTAGTAACCAACGAAATTAATAAACTTATCAGCTAACTTATTTTTAAGGTTAAAATTAAAATTACAATTATAGTTAAATACAAACGGAGTTGAATCTTCATTGACATTGGAAGGGCGTGTATTGTTCAGTTTTTTGAAATTATTGTTGGTTGGCCTCGAATGTAACCGATTCGAATGTTTGTTTCACCGCGACTTTTTCTTTCTGACAGCGTGTTCCAGACAGCCTTGAACTGTTCTTGTTGAAGCTTGGTTTTATCAATATCAATATTTAGGTGTTTCAGCGTTTCAATATTACGGAGTTTAGACTTTGCTTTAAGGATCTGATTAACACAGTTAACATCAGGTAGATTCACCCTAAGCGGACGACGTTTGTTATAATTATTACCAAGTCGTATAGCATTTAGAGCTTTTATGGGTAAGTTTAGGGAAGAAAAAATTGAGTTAACTAGAATTAATTCGTCAGGGGCACTGTCAGAGGTGCATTCCGGGGCATTGAAAATAATAATATTACACTTCCTGCGATCTCTATCAGATACTTCGCTACAAAAGTCTGTTTTTTCAAAATACGTAATTTTTTTTTCGAGGACAGAGATTTTTTCCTTTAACGTGTTATTTTCCGAAATAACATTATTCAATAATTGTAGGGTCTCATCAAGTTTTTTTGTAATTTTAGATTCTTGCTGGGTAAACTTACTTTCCAGAGACTTTACTGATTTAATAAGTTCTTCAAGACTTAAACTAACAGGTTTTTTTGTAACTGTTGGAGACATATTTTGTGAACAGTATAGACACTTCCACGAATTTAAATCCGAAGTATTAAAGACACAGTTTTTATGAAAAAGTAAATTACAGAGACAACAGGTGATAGAGAGTTGATTTCTATTGATAGTTAATGAACATAATACACATAAAACCATTACATAATGTTATCTTAAAACCACGAGTCGTAATCTATACGTTAACGGACGGATGCGCGATAAACACGACCGTCTCTAGCAGAGTCTAGTACTGTATTTAGTACAGTACTTTATGTATAATATGTAATACTTTTATTGTAAAATATTTTTTCATAGAAGTCAAAATTAATTATTACACAATGTTATGATCTCCTAATCTTCAATAGCCTGTTTCAAAAAAAAAAACATGATGTATCCACAATCGATATAAAAAGCATCATCTAGCTGAAAAATTAATCAATGAAAATAAATAATACTTCTGTATCCTATAATTTTATTATAGTATTTATTTTATCTTTAACAATTATTTAATAAAAAAAGTTTATATTCAACTTGTATAGTATGGAATCTATATTCTCAATCAAAAATGTTTTAGAGCATTTTTTTAAATCTTTCAATTTCAATTAATTCTATTGATTCTGATGGTTGACGGTTTGAAATAATTTTCCTCATTCTTTCCGTAATGCAACTGTAAAACATAAAATATATAAGCGGTAATGTTACAAATTATTATAATATCATATCGAACAACTCTATTTCAATTATATATATATAATATGTAGTTTTTTTCTTATTTAATAATATTCTTCTTTAATATAGTATGTGGTAATAATATAGTGTTAATTAATATTTTTTTTTTTTATTAAGGGGTCTCTATAGACAACTTCTTATACATCCGTTGGTATATTATTTATTCTGTTTTTAGCTAAATGTAATCTTTATACGTTTTTATTATTATTATTATTTTGTATAGTTTAGCTAACCAGTCATCAAATATGTTATTAACCCTACAATGCATGATTTTTTTTTTTTTTTTTTTAATAAATTTTTTTATCATAATTATACCTACAAATGAACGGAAAAATATTTAAAAAAATATAAATCATTTTTTTACTTAGAAATAGATGATATTATAGTTTGTTGCCATATGGCAACACTATGCATTTAAGGTACGCATTTTTTTAAAATATCATTTTTTTATTTTATTAATAAAAATAAGTAAATAAGTAAATAACAATAAACCTGTATTTGGTATAAATCAAATAAAATTAAAAATTACATCTTGTAAATCAAATAAAATTAAAAATTACATCTTGTAAATCAAATAAAATTAAAAATTACATCTTGTAAATAATCAAAATTTAAAAATTTAGAACCTTATATTATAATATAATAAACAGAAGCTACGTTGTATGCCACAGTGTAAAGCACTCTAACCCTTTTCCACAACACAAACTAACATTACACTTTCCACATTTTGAAAATGTAAATCCTTTGCAACCAGGTTTCTTGCACCTAGTTTTTTTTTGATTGGGAACTGGCCAATGGTCATATCTATCGGTCCTAATTTCTTTTGGTGGTGCCTTTTCTTTTTGTTTTGTACCTAATTTTCCTTTTTTTATTATACCTATTTCAATATCAGTTGATGGGCGTCCTCGTTTTGGCATATTATTTTCACCAAGTTTACACAAAGTTATGGCAAGTTGTTCTCTAAATTCCATTAATGGTAAAACATTATTGTTGTCTAATTTTTGATTTTGGATTCGTTTGTGTAACAGCCAAGAATTTACGATGGTGACGTCTAGTAAGTGATGAAATAATCGCATATACCACTTGCGACTTCGCATTTTAATTTTGTGCCTTCCAAGTAATCCATCCAGTAAGTCGACACCTCCCATGTGAGTATTGTATACTTTTATAATATGGGGACAATCCACTTCAACTCTTTTATTCATTTTCCTATCATATCTACTAACTTTCGTAACAGGCTCAATAGCAGCAAAAGTTGACAATAAATTTACATTTTTCGTGTCTTTCCATGTAATCGCGACTATATCTGTATTTCTAATATTAGTGACACAATGATCATATGTTCCTCTGGGTTTTTTTAGCATAGTTGAATCATCAAGCAACACTACATTCTTAAGCCTATTTCTTCGAACAGTACCTAGGGAGAGTATATTTTCTTTTTTCAAATAAACTAATAGTGGTAAGGTTGTGTAATAGTTATCAAAAAATAATTTATAATTTTGATGTTTTGGTATAACTCTTCCTAGACGAACTACTACATTAGCGCTGGAACCTAAATCTGGTTCATTTTTATTTCGTAGCTCCGAATTGTTTTCTTGGCCCGTAAAAAGTTCAAAATTATAAGCGAAACCGGAGGCACCACTAAGAACGAACAATTTATAGCCCCACTTATGTGGCTTGTTAGGCATATAAACTTTTACCGAGCTTCTAGCTTTGGTGCTACACATTTGCTCGTCAACAGCTAAATGTTCTTCTATTGGAACACGTCTAAAACTGTTTTTTAATGTTTCTATAAGAGGTCTTATTTTGTGAGTTCTATCACGATTTGGTCCACGTGTCTCAAGTGTATTATCATTAAAATGTAAATTACTTCTAATTTTTTCAAAAGTATTCAGGTTCATTGTGTCTTTGATAACATCATTGCCTAAGTATGGTGACCAATATTTTCTAACATTTGAAATATTTACTATACTCATTAGGACAAGTACCCCAATATATTTTTGTAAATCATTTGTAGACATTTTTAATGGATTAGATAAACTGTTTTGTAGACCATATTTAGTTTCATCACAAATATGTTGCATCAAGTCTACGGTAAAAAGATATTTAAAAATTTGATAAGGTGTCTCTAATTCCATAATATCTTCTGGTAAAGTCGAGTTTCCGAGAAAAGTAGTATCTACAGGTGGAAAATTATCTTTTGACCATGTAATTTCTTTTATTTCAATCGGAATATGATTTTGAATAATAGGTGGTACAGGATTATTACGTTTGGATCGATAACATTTGTTTTTGGAAAGTTTTGGTACTTTACGTGTTGTTTGTTGAACAGAAGATGTGGAGGGCAAAAATAAATCAGTGGTATTAGTTTCAATAGAAGTTTGAGGCTCGTCGTACACATGCTCGAAAATTGGAAGTTCAACTTTATCATCTAGAATTGTATCAACATTAAATTGTTCAGATACAAGTTTTTCAAATTTCTCAATATTTGTTTCGTCTAATAAATCCCCCCCATACTCATTCCATAAATCAACCTTTTCATTTTCAACGTCACTCTCAGTCTCAAACCCATCTTCCGACCCGGAAGGTATTTCAAGTAAATGAATAATTTCTTTGTCAACTAATTTTTTGTTCATGGTGGATATATAACTTAATAATTATATACCTTACAAGTTACAAGTTCTTCTGTAGTTCTCTGTTTTTCGTTGTTCGTTCAGGTAAAAAAAAAAACGTATGAAATGAATCAAAATAAAGTGATAACACAATATAAATGTGTTTACGTCGATAACCGTGGTTTACGTTTATTGAATGCATAGTGTTGCTGTCTGGCAACAAAGTCAAAAACAGGTATTTTACAAAATTGCGAATCGACAACTGTTCCACAACCAAACCATCGTGTCAATTACAGTGTCGCCAACATAAAAATATTTTTTTAAACGTTACTAGGTTAATATACTTTGATATTTCATCGTTTGAAGTGATATGTTTTATCAAAATATAAGTGATTTCTAAATATGTGTTGCACATTAACATTTATACGTAAAATAAAACAAGCATCTATATCAATTGTTCTACTTATATTTTAGTTTGATTGTTTACAACTTTTCAAAGATATTCATGCGTATATTATACTATTTACTATTTACGTATACTATTTTACATCAATACAAACAGATTGTTGCCAGTGGGCAACACTATGCATTGTAGGGTTAACATAATATTCAATTAATGTTTCTTAAGTTTTAAAACTTGAAATATTGATAATAATAATCAGTAAAAGAGACTATGTTCTTTTAGTATGTTTCATTTTCTTTTCATTTTTAGTTACTGTTTTTTTATATTTTCAAAAATAAATAAAACTGAGATAATATCAGTGATTGATTTTTGAATACACTGTATAATACACACTTTTTATTCAACTAACTTTTTTTTTTTTTGTTTAGCGAAATGTGTGAAAAATATAAATATGAATAAGGTATTTTATTATTTTTCAAGTAAAAGAGTATGTAATCTTTTTTTTTTTTTTTTTAATTCATAGTTTTTTTATTTTTCTCAAATATTTTGCTCAACTGATATGTTTTGAATAGACTGTATTTAATTCATCACGTTGAAGCCATCGGATAACCGAATTTAGATTTACTAAGTATGTTAACGAGCTATTTTAGCGACACATGAAACGATTGAGTAAACAATCGTAACATGGGGCCTTTAAAAGACCACTGGAACCTTGTCATTTGTACGCTAAACCCATTGTATTTCATAGTACATCGTTATCTTTGGAAGGTATTTTCTATGAATTTACGAATATACAATCTATTATGAAAACAAATTCAATGATGATAAACAAGGTTGAATATATTTATTTGTGTGTGCGTACGCGTGTGTGTGTGTGTTTGTGTGTGTGTGGGAACTCACTCAGTGATTATGTTCATGTGACCAGATATTGTTAATAACAGCAATAACATTATGTTTCTATCATACTTTCATCATCCGTGATCCAAATGTGTGTGTAAACAAGTAATTTGCTTACTCTATAACGTACACATGTTTATAAATATCTTCAAAATCTGAAATGTTTGTATAATCATAAGATTGAGAAACTATTAAATCAAACTATGTTTATAGTAATTATATTTACCTGAATTATAAATGGAATGAATTATATGAATCATATCTATCTCTGTCGGTTTTATCTTGTATGAGTAAAATGGTACATTTATTACAGGATATGATATATTAAAATGAATAATAGTCAAATATGCACGACATTTCGCACACCGACTAAATTGACTATATGTTTGCAGACCTTTAATAGTCTGAAATTGACGGTGAAATCCCTTTAAATGGATTTGACAATTATTGTTTTCATTGTCAATTCGCAAACAAGACAAGGAACAATAGTGTGTCGGTACTGATTTCATGTTTATACTTAAATACATTTCTTTAAGTATAAAATTAGAATTATTTAACTTGAATAAATCTAATATTTCCTGTTCATCATATGCAAATGAAGATGCCATACATCGGACCGTTTCATATGAAATAATTTTTTTCTGAACATTCGGATCATTTGAAATAGTCATCCTTCTAATTTAAAAAAAAATATTTAGATTAAATCAGCTAGAATTGACTATAATAATTTATAGTAATAAATAATGACTAAAATGGTTATATTATTTTATAAATTGTAAATATCAAGTTAATTTTTAAAAAATATATATTATTTATACTATAATTATTATGCTAATATATATTAAAAAAAATTAGATTTATAAGACCTTATCGCGTACCTATACGCTTATGCTACAATATAAATATTTTATTCTATATTTTCTAACTGTCTATACAAGCTGTTTAAATTATCAAGAAATTACTCGGATTCTAATGCTCTTAACCGATTTCTTAGTTCTGTTAACCGTTACTGAAGATCTGCTTAACATTCACTTGAATAGTTTTGGAATCTATTATGTTCATTTATCAACTCAATTTTTAAATTTAAATGTTTCTTTATACTATTATTAATTTTTACAAATACTTTTCGAAATGCTTTCTGTTTCTCGTTACAATAGCGTCTATTTGCACCCACCTGTTGTTCAACTGCTAGATTTCTGCTTTTAATAATGTTTATTTCTGAGTTCATGATTAAGAAAATTACATAGAATTTCAAATCTAGCTATGAATACTGATACATTGTTTATACGCTCATTATGTTAGAAAATTGATACGTTTTTTTTTTTAAATCTAAAATTTTTATTAAATTAGTTTTATTTTATTAAAAATCGATAACAGTGATAACAGTGATAACACTTAGCTCTTACCGGTTTCTTTTATTTTTTCATTTGTAAGTACCTCTTTTTTTTGCGGTCGCTTTTATTCGTTTCGTCTTTGTGCCTTTTCCGCCGACACATGTTTTCATGCTTCATCTCGACAGATTAACTAGAAGAAGTATCGTGCAAAAGAAACTGCATCTGCCAGCTTGTGTACATCAGGTTCGTTCTTATCACTTGAACCCCAAACTTGTCAACTACCACCTTATCAACAAACCAGTCAGCTGTTTTTCGGTGACTTTAACGCTGGGCTTTTTCATTATCCACCTGTGTTTCAACTCCGATTTAGCTTGCATGCTGTACTATATTACTGTGCTTTGTGTTGTATGCTCTTGTCTTAAGGAGTTATTTTTAAGTATTTTTAAGTATTTTTATATATTTCTTTTTTCAATACTCTTGCATCAAATTATGCCTTTAACACCCTCTTCCGTGGCTTCAAATACTCGTGCACAGGCTCAGAAATCTCCTTCTACCACTGACATTTTGAAGGCAATCGAATCGCTCTCTACTTCGCAATCGTCGCAGTTTAGTGAACTTAAAAGTAGCATTTCGACACTCACTTCCCAAGTAGCAGATCTGGTATCTGAAAAAGCTTTTTTCCGGGCTGAAATTGGTGTGCTCCGTTCAAGAATTGATGTTTTGGAATCACGCCCGGTCCCCTCTATCGATTCGTCTTCAGTGATTTTTCGTGAATCTACTGAACGAAGCAAAATTGAATTTAATGCAATTGCATATGGAGTGCCTGAGTCCGCTGCCAACACCGCTGCTTTAAGAGTTAATGATGATCTACGTACACTTAGCAATCTTCTTGGACAAATAACTATACCTGTACCCACCAATCTTAAGCTAATACGCCTAGGCAATAGTAATGCGAAGAAACCGAGACCTTTGAAGGTAATCTGCCAATCCAAGGCCGATGCTTCTCAACTTATTTTAAATTTTAATTCACAAACGCGGAATGGATTATTACCAGAACCTGGTTTTCGCATTGTTCGGGACAAAACCACGCTTGAACGGGAACTTTTGCGTAAAGCTCATTCCGATCTGCAACGTAAAATCGAAAGTGACTCTTCAGATTTTACTATTTCATATGTCAATGGTGTACCTTCAGTGATTAAAGCCGGTCCAAAAAACATGAACCCCAGAGGAGGAAGCAATCATCAACCGAGTTCCACTCAGCATTTGCATTAGTTCCTGATTTCAACTCTGGTTTGCATGTTTATTGTAAAAATAATATTTTTTGTACCTTTTGCCGTTTTTCTCATTCTACCTTTAACTCATTTTTATCTAAATTTAATAATATTAAAACTAACTTTTCTTCTATACCCTACCCTAAGTTTAATAATTTTAATGTTATGCCTTATATTGATCATTGTTTTAAAATTGACTACCAAAATGTATGTGGCCTTCGTAGTAAATTGTTTAATCTCCGAACTAATTTTATTTTATTATTTTATGATGCTTATATTCTCACTGAGACTTGGCTTTCGGATGACATCTTTAATTCTGAATTATGTTTTGATCGGTATTTAATCTTTAGGTGTGACAGGAATGTACGCACAAGTAATTGTCGTCGAGGAGGAGGTTCATTAATTGCTGTCAAGAAAGAGCTAAGACCAACCTTAATTACGACTGCATTTGACACTTGTGAGCAAGTTTTTGTTCCCCTCACTCTAGCCAGTGGTCTCTCTGTATTTTTAGCTGGAGTATATTTATCTCCTGGTAAAAATTTGTCTGTGTATGAGAGTCATGTTGAGGCCTTAGACCGGGTATGGAGATCTTATAATTTTAATCTTGGTTTGGTATGTGGTGACTTCAATATGCCCAATGTTGAGTGGTCCGTCTGTGGTTCGGGTCTTGTCTATACAGGTAATATAACTGATAAGGTCCGTCTTGTTGGTGATCAGTTTAGTTTCCTTCACTTCGTCCAGAAAAACCAAATTCTCAATAACTCTGGATCTCTTTTTGACCTAATTTTCTCTAGTAATGAATCCACCTTAGTCCAGCAGGCTACAGATTTATTAGTTCCATGTGACATTTACCACCCAACACTGTCTATTTCCTGTCCCTTTCCTTCAGACCCTCCAATGCTGGACGCTCAACACACATATTATGATTTTAAAAATGCTAACTACGAGACGATTATTCATAGACATGAGAGCATTGATTGGTACAACGCCTTAGATTCAAGATCCGCAGACCTTTCTGCTGATTTTTTACAGAAATCATTGCTTGATTGTATTCGTGAATGCGTTCCATTACGAAACTTTCGAAACTCTACTTTTCCTATATGGGTCTCAAGTAAGCTTAAGAAACTTCTCGCTATGAAAAAACAATCGCATAAACAATATAAAATGTTAGGTGGTCTTAATCGTTATTTAATCTTCTCTCAACTACGCACCCAATGTAAATTTGAATCGAAGTGTCTCTATAGTCACTATTTGGGTAACATACAGAATCGTCTATGTGTAGATCCTAAATCATTTTGGAAATTTGTTCGTAGTAAACGTGGTGTCTCTACAATACCAGATGAGGTTTATCTTGGGGAGTCTAAGGCCTCCAGTGACCAAGTTGCTTCTTTGTTTGCTTCTCATTTCTCATCTGTTTATGGTGACTCACGATTTACCTGCAATAATTTATCAGATGAGTTTACAAACAACCAATTTTCACACCTTCCTTCTAAGTTATCTATATTGATTGATGAAGTTAATATAGCGCTTAACTCTCTTTCAAATGTTCATAGTTCGGGCCCGGATGGCATTTCTGCTAACCTATTGTATCACTGCCGTGCCTCTCTCAGTTTACCGGTCACTTTAGTTTTTAATAAATCACTTACAGAAGGTGTTTTCCCTTCTGCGTGGAAAATAAGTCGTGTTACGCCAATTTTCAAATCTGGGAATCCGGCTGATGTCGCTAACTATAGACCCATATCCGGCCTTCCTCTTCTAGGTAAACTGTTCGAGTCTATAGTACTGAAACGAATCGAACGTTCTTTCTTAACCACCTTATCAATTGACCAACATGGGTTCTTTCCTGGTCGCTCGACTGCGACTAGTCATGTAGTTTTTGCTTCTTACCTTCACGCGGCGTTTGAATTAGGTAATCAAGTTGATGTGATATACCCGGACTTTTCTAAAGCATTCGACTCCTTAGACCACAATGCACTTCTTTATATCCTCGACAGACTTGGTGTTGGTCAGCCACTTTTACCATGGTTTAGTTCTTACCTTAGTGACTGTCGACAATTTTTCAGCCTCTTCGGGAAGACATCTGATCTCTTCCGTGCATCGTCCGGTGTTCCACAAGGTAGCCATTTAGGTCCCTTATTATTTAATATTTTCATTAATACTATGTGCTCAGTTGTTTCCCCTTGTCGTTTCTTACTTTTTGCTGATGATTCTAAAATTTTTCACACAATTACCTCAAACAATGATTGTCTCACTCTCCAAAACACCCTTGATAAATTCACCAATTGGTGTAGTACGTTTAATTTATCTCTTAACATCTCTAAATGTAAAGTTATGACTTTCTATCGCTCTAATGCAGTGATATCTTTTGACTCTAGACTTGATGGTATATATATTCAACGTGTTAGCCAGGTGCATGATTTAGGCATTTTATTTGTACCTTCTCTTAATTTTAGCCCTCATATTGATTATATGACCAGCAAAGCCTTTCGTGCTTTGGGATTCATAAGGCGTCACTCAACTAATTTTAGTTCTGCCAATTGCCTTCTAGCTCTCTATAATGCTTTAGTCCGTTCGGTCATTGAATATGGGTCTATTGTTTGGTCACCATATACCACAGTTGACATTTATCGGATTGATCGTGTACAAAACAGTTTTATGCGTTTCGCCAGTTATTGCCTCAACATTCCTCATCCACCACATGATTATGGGCCATTAAGTCAAGCTCTGAGACTAGTTCCCCTTTCTGTAAGGCGTGATAATTTTGATATCACTTTTATTCAGCGTCTGATCGAAGGTCAAGTTGATGCCCCAAGACTACTTGGAGAACTTAGCTTTCGTATTCCTAGTAACACTAGGCTTCAATGTAATTTGTGTATACCCACCAATAAATCAAACTTCTCCAGGAATGCCCCACTTATAAGAATGATGCATAATGCAAATAATCATATAGACTATTAAGCCATACGTAATACGAAGGCTCACATTTTTTTTTTTTTTACATAACTTACACCACATTGTTTTTTTGTTTTAATTACTTACTAATTCTTTTTCTTCTCTCTATTATTAAGTTAGTATAAGTTATGCATCTTATATATATTGTATATGTTTTAATACTGTTATCTATGTACTTCTTGTCTGTTATTTTGTAAAAGCCGTCTGGCGTTGATTATAATAAATAATAAAATAATTTGAACGATTATAAAACTTGAACAGTATTGAACATTTATTATCCTTCGACAGATATTATATACACAAGAATGATATAGGTTTGATACGGACTTGTGGAGTGCCGCGTGGATGGTGAGGTGATGGTGACCAAAAGAAAAAGGTCGGAACAAAACAAACAAAAGAAAGACAACAAAATGGCGCACTGATGTGATTTTAACTTTTATTATTATAAAAGTAAGAGAACATTCAATATAAAATTGAGAAACGGTATCGATTACTACTATGGTAGTTATTTTAACTGTGAAAGTCGTTCCTGTACTCGCGGGGACGTGGGTAGCGGTCTGTCCGTGTCGCTGAGTAGAAAACAACTTTTGACTTTACCGAGCCGGTTCGCCGAACGGCCGGTCGACGTTTCCAGGCGCGGGTGTCGCGCGCCGGCGTCGTCCGCCGTCGATTGGCGGTTTGATTGAGAAGCCACGGCGTGGCTTCCGCGCAAAGGCTGTTTGAATTCAAACAGGTTTTGCGCGGGACCGCGTCAGGTTATAATTTACTACAATATCATTCGATATATAATTATAAGATAAAATAATAAATAATAATAAAATAATTTATTTATCTCGATTTTATTATCAGCGACTATATATCGTTTAATTTATCATATAATACATTCAATCCTTTCTGTATATTTTTTTCACAGACGTATGTTATATATTATACATTTTTTTAATCGTTGATTAATATCTGTTTTTCTTCTTTTAACTTTTTCCGGGTAGCTTCCAAAGACGCGTTCTGTATTTTGACGTTGATATCTCTCATTTTGTTTTTGAAAGTGGCTTCGTCGTTATCCATACAACGGTTATTTTCCTTCAGTTGTTTTAATATGGAATTAATTTCTTCCCAAATTAATGATTTTTGTGACTCCATTTTTTTTTTTTTTTTTGAATTCTAGAAAATTGTTATAGAATTTGTAAACTATCTACTAGTAATAAAATAATGGCAAAAATATAATATAATAATAATTATAAACTAATAATATATTTACTAATAATTCATAATAAATTTAAAAAATTTAACCTGTTCGAAACCTTTCACGTTTAGATTTTGCTGTCGTAAGAAATTCTAACCTTCTACCGAAACAAACTTCTCGCCTACGAAAATTCGTGATATATAAATCACAATATTTTCGACATATATCCATTTTATTTTCTCTTAATAAAACTAATTTTGTATTTAACTCTTTTATATAAGACAAATTTGGATTAGAATTTGTTCTACTTAAATAAATAATGAATTTAAGGTTTTTAATTTTTTTTTTTAAGATCTTTATATTCATATCTCTCTTTAGTTTTATTTTCGTCAATCATCTTTGTTAATGTTTAAATCTGTTCTTCATAATATTGAATTTGTTCACAGCAATAATCAAATGAGTGCCAATAATTCATTATCTATAATTTTACCTAAGTACATTAGTATAAAATATATAATATAGAAATCTAAATTACTTATTATATTATTCAAAGCTGAATAAAAAAACTTTGACAAACTAAACAATATAGCATTTATGTCATATAAACATACTTTTAATTACTAGTGAAGCCACATTACTAGATGTAAAAGCAACAAAAATAATTTAAATGTATATATTATATACGTTTTAGGATATTATATATTTTTTTATACAGACAGTAAACATTATTGAATATATTTCTTTTTTTTAATTAAAAAAATTTTACGTAAAATAATATTAAACGTATAATACAAATATCACACTATCAATAGCAAATATTTATAATTAGCGAAAGTATTTTAACGTTGATAAAACTAGGTATAGAT